GATTATGAGTTCATGTGAGTGAATAAAATTGCTCTCAGAAAAATGCAGCTGTTGAATAAACCCATTTAAATTCCACAGTTTATGGAAGGCATGCATAGACCCATCCTTAAAGAATGAAGTCTATATTATGCAAAACCTCACCACAGAATCTCCTCAGAACATATTAGGGTATGAGAATTGAGGAGAGGAAACGTAAGATGAAACAATAATCTTCGTTAAAAAGTGGGGTGGGGTGGGGCCGTAATTGGAGCATTTGGGCAGAGACAGCGGAGTCCAATGGCCAAGACTGTGACTTTATTCTGAATAAGCGGACATCACCTTTCCAGAGTTGATAGGTTTGCTTTATCTTCTCCAGAATGGATTTTCACTTTCCCCTTTTGGACATGTTATCAGGCGAGTCCTTTCCCTGGGAAAGGTCACCATGCTTGGTGAAGTGTTGTACACCGGTCACTATGAGTCAGAAGTGGCTCGATGGTACCTAACAACATCCACCACCACTTGGGAGACAACCTTCAACTCTCCTCCACCATTTACGGAACATCGGCCAGAATGTGGATCTAGCATTCAAACTTGTCCACAGGCTGTCGAGAGGATGTCAGCTCGTTCTTAGAGCTCACTACAGTCTCTGATGACCTCATCTTCAGTCACCCATCTGCTTACAGTTTGCTAAACACATCCTGGACCTTTCTGCCTAACGGATCCGACTGTTTTCCTTTTTGATCTCTAGCAAGACAATTCTACCCACACAAGGAACAGTCAAGAAATCAAACCGCATATGGCATTGGGCAAATCTGCTACAAAATAACCTTTCAAGTTCTGAAAAACAATGATGTCACTTTGATTATCTTTGATTATTAAGGTGTGTCTGGTCCAAGTCAAGATTCTGTGTTTTTTTTTTTTTTGTAATCAATTACCTCATATGTATGCAAACTCTGGACAATGAAAAACAAAGAAGAAAAACCATTCTAACTGTGGTCTTGGTGAGGACATATATATTTACTCCTCATGAACGGCCAGAACGATGATCAAATGAATCTTAGAAGAAATGAAGTCACCATGGTCCAACATGGTCCAACATGGTCCTTACACCATTTGAGGGGATGGTAAGACTTTGGCTCACAGACTTTGAACAAATCAACAGCAAAGACCAATTGCTAGAAAGGGCCATAGCGTTTGGTAAAGTAGGAGGAGCAAAAAGGAGGGAACCAATGGCTTGGACTGAAACCAAGACCCACGCAAATGGGCTCACACATGCCAATCATCTTGAAGATGGTTGAGAACAAGGAAACGCTTTGTTCTGTTATATACAGCAAACTACCACGCGGTGCTGCTGACTGGTGGCAACTAGCAACAATTCCAGGAGAAAATTCACATCCCCTGTACACCTTCTCAGATTCTGCCACCTCCAAAAGCTGTATCATTTTCTTCCCCTGTGATTTGGCAGTAGCTGCCACTATGGTATGAGTTTGGGAAAGATGTTCGCCCTTTGAATTCTCTATTTCTCTTCTCCTACCAATTCCCTGGATCACAGTGTTTGTTAGACACCTGGAACTCAGAACCTATTTACAGACTTGAACTCTATTTCCACTACTGGCACATCTCATAGATCCTAGAGCAAGGATAGCTAAGGAAGAGCTATGCTCTAGAAGGTGTTGTTCTGTGTCCAATCTCTTGAGAATGCTAGCACATGTGTAGAAAAAGTAATAGGAATGTCATGAAAGAGGAAAGCATCTACAGCCTCACCGGTGTGGAAATGACTGATGACAGAGAAGCAGACTGCTTTTAATTTGGGGAAGAAACCATTGTCAATATAGGAGCTGCCTCTTGAGAAATGGACAGGGACTCAGAGTGCTATATTCAATATCACTAAGTCAACCTAACATCACACAAGAATTAACGACAATAGAGCTCATCCAAGGGTTGGATCTAGAATTGTTCTGTGAACTTGGGTCTCCTAAAACAGTTCTGCCATTCACACTCTCAAGGCCCCAGAGACGCAGGAAATGACTTGCAAAGGGAGATAATAAACAAAGATGCAACAACAAAAAAGGTCAATCTCTGAAAAAAGCAAAGAAATGCAAAGGAAACCAATAACCGGGTATCATTATCACAAACCTCAGATGAGTCACCAAAGTGTGTTGACATTGAGGTAAAACTGATATAAAATGGACTTCCAAAATTTTGGGGGAAAGTTGTATAGAAATATTATGGAATTTCCCTAAACTTTTTGAATCCCCCTTGTAGAAACTGAGGGTACCAGTATAAATTATTTACAATCTTTGGAAAGAAAAGTAACAAAAATGGCTGTATTCAAAATAAAAATACTAAATAACCAAGCAATCCGTTTACTTGTTAGATATCCTGGGAAAATCGGAGGCATCAGACAAATAGATATATTCACTCACAAGTTCACTGCAGCATTATTCACAACAGCATAAAAATGGAAATAATTAAAATCCCCATCAATGAAACACTGAGCAAACAAAAGCTTCTACATGTACACAATAGAATACTATGTAATGTTACAGAATGATTAAATCTAAAAGCACTTCTCAATATGAACGAACACAGAGAACATTATGCTGAGGGAATTAGTCAGTCACAAATGAAGAGAGATTATATGCGCTCACTATTGTAAAAAGTCAAGGAAAGGGGGAGGGTGGAGTGGAGGCCCAAAGCCCAACTGTAGACAATTGGACATCTCCTTACAGAAGGTCACAAGGAAGAGACAAGTCAGTCAGGGTGCAGTATAGCACCAACAAAACATACAACTTTCCTCTAGTTTTTAATGCTTTCCCCCTACACACATACACTATCATGATCCCAAGTCTACCTTACCAATCTGGCTAGACCAGAGCAAGTAAACTGGTACAGATAAGAGCTCAAAACACAGAGAATCTTGGACAGATAACCCCTCAGGATCAATAACGAGAGTAAGTGATACCAGGAGGGTAAGGGGCAGGTGGTGGGAGAGATTGGGAACCGATCATAATGATCACCATGTAACCCCCTCCCAGGGGGATGGACAACAGAAAAGTAGGTGAAGGGAGATAGCGGTCAGCGTAAGACATGAAAAAACATACTAATTTATAAATTATCAAGGGTTCATGAGGGAGGGGGGAAATTAGGTGATAAACAAGGGCTCAAGTAGAAAGAAAATGTTTTGAAAATGACAATGGCAACATATGCACAAAGGTGCTTGACACAATGGATGGATGGATGGATTGTGATAAGAGCTTTAAGAGGCCCCAATAAAATGTTGGGAGTTTTTTTAAGTCAAGAAAATGTTTTTTCCATTTAAAGCGAACATTCTCTGATCACTACTAGAGGCTAGAAGGGAAAGAAGGATAAGCTGAGTAGAGGGTAGACATATTTCTAACTTGGCTGAGAGGAAATAATAAGAGGGAAGACAAGGGGAGCAATACGCAGAGTTAAAAGATAATGAAGGTCAATACTGTTGGATACACCACCCTGATCAAAGCTAAAGCTGCAGGCTGAACATGTGTGGGATGGGGAATATGCCCACAAATGTATATACAGGTTTGACAAAAGCTATTTGTATGAGTACCTTGCAAATGTATCCATGAATATGGTGTAACATATGGGGGCAAAGTTATGAAAACTTCTTAGACGTAACCAAACACCTTGAGAGAATTAGTCACTGGAATTGGGGATTCAGGACCATAGTTTCAGGAGATGTCAAGGTCAATTGGCATAATATAGTTACAAAATAATGTTCTATACTTCCTACTTTGATGAATAGCAACTAAAATAGTTTAGCCCATCTAAGACACACCTGTTGGTCTTTCCTTGTACAGAAGAAAGAAGAGTTTGGACAACAAAAAACCCTGAAGATGCATGGACACAAGAGATTCAACAGATTAACAGACCGAGCAAACATCAGGCTCTGAGTTGAGAAGAACTAAATGGTGCCCAACTATCACTCCCACTACTAAACCATATGCGAAAGAAATATGGATCCAAACTCAAAAGTCATATGAGACCAGGCTTACTGGTCAGATAAAGACTGGTAGAATCCCCTACACTACGGTCCTTAGAGGACTACAAAGGACTGAATTTTTAACCAAGCAATAGGCAGATCTACAAAGGGGAACAATAACACTTGTGAGGTAAGCTCACCTCAGAGGAATGAGTCATGCAAGACCAATAGGGCTGTGTGTACTCAAGGATGCCTTTCAGAAGGGTTAGGAAAGAAGGTGGAATGAAAGCAAGAAGCACAGGGTAGAAATTAGTGTGAAGATGGGGATCAAAATGAGGTGTTACAAGATACATACAATGTGTTGAATGGAAAACTGATCTACTCAATAAAACTTCACCCACTTCACAATAAAGCACTTTTTAAAATGACCAAACTCCTTAATGTAGAAATGCCAATGTGAAGGACTATCAGAGAAAGCCAAGAATTTAAAGAAAATGTATGCGAACGTGTTCCTTTTAGCGTTTGTTACAAGAGCCCATATCTGAAAACAATATCCAACATAAAGAATTTCTTGCAAAATATATAGCCTTTACCTTCACCTTATTTAACGACAGGAAATCATTACTGACAAGACGGCAATAGTATCTAGCAAGTGATCTATATGGGCAAAGGTAGAAAAAGATAAGGAAATTAAGTAAGATGTATTTTGGTAGTGTTTTCCCATTTTTAAAGAAAACACTACAGGAAAAAATTAAAAGGTTCCTGCCTGTCCCTTTACATGTGTGAATATTAATGAAATGACAACCATTGACCCAGAGAAGACAAAAAAGCATCAGGGGTAGAAAAAGAAGCATGTTGTCTCAGATGAAAATATAATGTGGTTAGAGATGTGGAAAAGGTCTCTTTCTCACCCACCCCCCATTGTAAATTACGTCGGAATTACATGTCAGCTCATTAACTTCGGATGAAAACCACTCTAGACCCCACACCCCGCTACCCAATAGTTTAGCTTTCCCCTGCTCCGTGATTTTGCAGAGAGGTGGTAATTTAAAGAACTTACCTGTGGAGGCCGAGGTTTGTACGGGGAGCTGCACTCCAGGTCAGCTAAGATACTTGTAAGGGAGTCGATCTCTGCATCCAAGCTAGAGCGCCTCTCCTCCAGGGTCTTGCCTCCAGGACTGCCCTGCTAGAAACAACATATACATTTAAAAAGGGGGCTCGTTGACCCTCGTGTGATTTCCATTTTCACAAGTTGTACTGTGAGTTTTAGCTTTCATTCAATATGGATGAGGTAGGTTGGGGTGGGATTTTCTCATGACCCGCACAGACAGCACTCATACAGCTGCAAAACACGCATTTAGATATTCTTCCAGTGACTTTGGAGGTGAAAGGAAAGTAAGGACTCCATCTCTAAATTCAAGAAACAGAGCCAAGCAGATACAAGCCTAGGGTCCTTGAATTCAAAAACCATTGCACAACATGGTAGGCCTTATCTGGAGCAGGAAAGGTGCAGGGGGAGGAGCCAGGTGGTCACGCAAGAGGAATCAGAGCTTGACAACATGAGCACGTGAGCAAGCGTGGTGACCAGTGCACACTGGACATGTGTGTACAGGGGTCACCCAGTTTTCACTCTACACCATGTCGCTTTCACAAGAGACCTACCTTAGTACCTGTTTTTGTTAATGAAAACATTCCAAAGAGGATGTGTGTGTGAGAGAGAAAGAGAGAGAGAGAGAGAGAGAGAGAGAGAAAAATTGTCATTCCATATTTGGTTTGCAGCAAATCACTACAATGGTAACATGCCTCTAAGTAGCAAAAGTAGCATCACCAAACCCCTTTCCAGGAACTGCACTAAACACATGTAATTCTACTTTTTAAAAATAAATCAATTTACTGGGGGCTTGTCCAACTCTTATCATAATTCATATATACATCCATTGTATCGAGCACATTTGTACTTTTGTTGCCATCATCATTCTCAAAATATTTTCTTTCCACTTGAGCCCTCGGTATCAGCTCCTCATTTTCCCCTCCCCCATCGCTCCCTCACGAACCCTTGACAATTTATAGATTGTTATTATTTTTTCATGTCCCACACAGACTGATGTCTCCGCTCACCCACTTTTCCATTATCCATCTCCCTGGGAGGGGTTATTTGTAGTTCAGTGTGATTGGTTACGCCTTTCTTCCCCCACCTTCCCCTTCCCCTCTTGGCATTGCCCCTCTAACTATTGGTCCTGAGGGGGTTATCTGTCCTGGGTTCCCCATGTTTCCAGCTCTTATATGTACCCCTGTACATGCTCTGGTCTAGTTGGATTTGTAAGGTAGAATTAGGATCATGGTAGTGAGGAGAAGGAAGCATTAAAGAACTAGAGGAAAGTTGTATGTTTATCAGTGCTATAATGCACCCTGACTGGTTCATCTCTTCCTTGTGACCCTTCTGTAAGGGGATGTCCAATTGTCTACAGATGGGCTTTGGGTCTCCACTCTGCACTCCCCCTCAATCACACTGACATTTTTGTTCTGGGTCTTTGATGCCTGATACCTGACCTCAATGATACCTCATAGGCTATGCATTTTATCAGTCCTGCTTTTACTATAGTTTAGTTTTATTTAAAGTTTTATGTCGTACTTAGTAGGTCAATTGGCGGGTGGGGGGTGTCTGAGAATATTCAAATGTTTTCCTCATGTACGTTAATAGAATTGCTTCTTTACTGTATGCCATTTCAGCTTTAGAAAGTTTTCACGGGATTGCTCCACTTTTAAATAGCAGGGAACCTATATGGGGTGGATGTCGGAGGTAGTTTGGAGCTGATGCACCTGGAAAATTGGACTAGAATCAGCAGACTATTCCAGGCTCTGGCCCTGGGGCTGCCAGGAGGACATGTAGCAGTGATCTCCAATGAGGAACGTGGGGGGCCTATGGCTCCTCTCATGTTATCACAGCAGGCATATGTAACTGAACCGAGAATCAATAACGGGACAGTTGATGGCTGGTACTCACCAAAGTACATTCACAAAAATGGGAGATAGACTTGGGAACAGTAAGCAAACAGTTTGCCCAGGGCTTCAGGCAAAGAGATAAAAACAAAAATAAAGCGACTTTCGGTCGGTCAGATGATCCCCTAAGGCATTAGCATTATTGTGAGTGAGATGGAAGTGTCCCTTGACACTCCATCAAGAGGCTGCCATATTTTCAGTGCCAGCAGGACTACAGTAAAGGGAAGGTACTGTAGTCTAATCAACCCGATTTCTGTGAATTTCTGTGAACACGTTCAATATCAGGACAGTGTTGGCAGGTATCTAACACTCATTCATTCACTTATTGTCATTAAGCTAATTATAACTCAGAGTGACCCTATAGGACAGAGTAAAACTGCCTCTGGGGCGGGGGTGGGGTGGGGTGGGGGGTGGGTTTCTGAGACTGTTGCTCTTTGAAGGAGTAGTTTGCTTCATCTTTCTCCCACAACCTGCTGACCTTGCAGTTAGGAGCTCAGTGCTTAACGCACGGCACCACCAGGACTCATACAAGTGTCTACAGCAGGGGTTCTCAACCTTCCCCACGCCATGACCCTTTCATACAGTGCCTCCTCTGCGGTGACCCCACAACCATAAAATGATTTTCGCTGCTACTTCATCCCTATGATTTTGCTACTGTTGTGAATTGGGCGACCGCCGTGAAAGGGTCATTCAACCCCCAAAGGTGTCGTGACCCACAGGTTGAGAACCACTGGTCTAAACACAAGGGGGGGGGGGGGGGGAGCCAGGAAACCAGACTCTCAATCAACAACAAAAGATAAGGTGCCCTGACAGAAGAAGGTTAAATCGCACAGGCCTACAAGCAAGGTTATCCTCCCAGGGCTCACGGTCTCATGCAGTGAGCAAGTGGCCTGGTAGGATCGCTATGTTGTTCTTATTGTGTCCCAGTATCTTGCTCATCATGCACCTTGAGTATGGGGAACCCGTCTCTCAATCAAAACACTCTACTGCGATGTGGAGCCCCTGCCAGCCTGCTGGGAAGGTCACCAGCATGAGGGCCTCCACAGGGAGCTGATCTCAAATTGCCAATCGTCTGCGAAGCTGTGGCCCAACCCTTTGGCTGCAAAACCAAAGCACTGTCACTTGCCCCAGTGGGCAGTTAGCCCCCTTGTTGGTGAGCTCTTTTTAAAAGGGAGTCATTTTGATTACATTTTTGCAAGCAGTTTTCTCATCGTTTTCTTGTTCGGAACATTTTTTATGACTTTTCTATCTTGTTGTTCGGTGTCATCCAGTCAGTTCCGACACACAGTAACCCCACATACAATGGTCCTGCACCATTCTCGCAATCGTTCCTGCGTTCGAGCCCATTGCTGCTCAATCCATGACCTGTCCATCTCACTCTCTACACTCTTGTTTTGTTCCTTCCCTTCTATCCACCACAGCTATTACCACATACCATTATTTCATAGGTTGATCTGCCCCTTACCTGTCTGTCTCCCTAACAAGAATGTAAGCTTCATGAGAGCAGGGCATTGCCTCGTTTCCTCTCTGCAGAATCTTCGGATTCTGGCTTAGGACCTGTCCCATCACTGGCCCATTGAATATTTTCTTAAATAAATAAATAAATGAATAATGATGGAAGACTGTGTCCCAGATGGAGGCAGTACTTTTTTCCACAGCAACATCTTTTGGATACAAACAGCTAGAGATACAGCAGGACACAGCAGCTGCTCGGTGCATGGCATAAGAAGGAGCCTCAAAGCCCCTGGCATGTATGCAAGCATGTGTATACGCAGGTGCACACGCAGCTGAAACGTCTGGATTTGCAATCTGGCCTTTATGATCAATCAGGAGACTGTCTTCAGCGTCCTTTTCACAGTCAAGGGAGGGAACAGGACAAATGACTGGTGCTCTTCCTTAGCGTCTGGATCTCAAGCTTGGCAAAACCCTCTGAGGCCAATGGTACTGTGCCCTAAGAACAGATGTTTTCAAGCCAGCGATCTCTCTATCAGAGGTAATCTCATCTTCATCCCATGGGCCAATAATAATTAGGAAAGATGGCAGCATTAGCAAAGTAAAATAAAACTCTTGCACAATTAAAATTCGCCTAGGCATGGTGGAGAGGATGCTATTGCTATGGAAATAAACCGAGAACCACTTATAGATATAAGACATGAAACTCAGGGATTTGATCTATGTATTTCCTTATGCTCATGGATATAACAAAATATGAGGAAGGACAGTCATCCTGAAATATGGTTAAATTCTTTCCTGGACCACAGTTTTCTTAACCAGAAAATGGTTAACACCACCTACCTTACCTAAGCCAAGGCATTACAAGACTCAGATATGATAATGGATGAGAAAACGCTTTGTAAACTCTAACATGCTGTAATTAAGATGATTTTCACAAATAGCATTAATTACATCAATGAGTAACTGTACATTATTATGAATAATATAGCTATTGTTAATTATTCTTATTACGTGAAGCAGCATTCATTATTTCCTTGGGGCATGAGTTAAGAGTCGGATTTCATCAGGTCTTTAACATCTGAGTGGCCTTAAAACAGCACGCACATCACCTGCCCATGCCTTAAATGACAGTAATGTCTAACCACAGAGACCCAGACATAGCTTATCTTGAGCCCCACAACGAAACAAGCAATTACAATGTGTAACCAGCCTGTGCAGGTAAGACTTCATTTTGTACATAGCCTCCTGGTTCTTGAGCCCTTTTGTATTGAGACTGCTCCCGATGTTTCAGGTTCTCGTCTTAGGTTAAGGTAACTGTACAGGTACTAGCCTAATGCAGAGGACTTTTGCATCAAGACCTTCTGCTATCCAAGTGACCCTGGAACAACAGCTTTAGTCCTGAATCTCAATCCCTTTATGGATTAGAATGGATTACGTCACATCTCAATTGTAATGTTTTCTCTCTCAGTACCTTTAGGTTCAGAGGCCATTGCGCCAATCTGAACACCTTATTCTAGAGAGGTTCCTTAAGCTACAGTCCAATAACCAGCTAACAGAATTCTGTGGATTCAACAATGTCTTTTTCTTAATTCCCTATCAATGTAGCTTTGTCTAATCATTGATGTTTACACACCTGGCAACAGACAAATCGTAATAATGATCGGCCTGGCTCTTTGCTTAATGTTTTCTAGATATCCCATGGCCCCTTATGAAGTGGCCAATTCAACAAAA